TTTTTCTAGTTATTGAAGCAAACTGAGTGTTATGTATGTGTCTTTCAATGTTTATGTTTTGTCTTTCAATCTGCCAGGAGATCCATAAAATACCAGCTGCTAGAGTAAGTCACTCTGTCAGAGTGCTCCATACCAAGTTTGGTGTTGATCTGTCACATAATTTTATCTTCACTTCGTAATACTGTGCTGTGTCAAAATTAAACATAGTTTCTTTTATGTGTTTCTTAAATTCATTCTGGTTGAGATATTTCTATTTCTGAATTCACTGTTCATTAAAGAGAGAATTGTGTGACAATGAGATGATTACAACTATTTATGAACATGACATGTTTTTGAATTTGTTCATGTTGTCCTGTATACATTGATGATATATATACAGTGTATACCTTGAGTTCAGAGGCTGTGTTTCTGCATGTTTGTGTAGAACTCTGACTGAATACTAACCATTATTAAGTAGATGAATGACCTATTCTAGGTGATTTCCTTCCAGTAGCATGAACATTGAAATCACAGATGAAAACATGCTGATTTAAATTGTATGACAGACATGTCCATTAATTATCTTGTAATATAGAACAAAAATAGTTAAAGTAGATAATAAAGTATATATTTTTTTATGTAATTTTCTTTGATCAGTATAAGATTGGTCTGACATCAAATTTGATTCCTTTGTACAGTCAAAGTAACAAAAAATCCCTAACCATTAGATATTATATATGTACATGTACTATGAATTTAGAGACACTGAACAAAATAAAAGCATGATTGATTGTTACTATAGTTACCTGTCATTTCATTTAATTGTTTTGTTTTTGGTAAAAGGGAACAAAACCCAAACCCAAGCCTTCTGGTAGTACACAGCAAGTGTCGGGGAAAAAAATCAGTCCACCAAGAGACATTAACTTCACCCGTCCCGAAGCGCTTGAATTCCTAACTAAAGCACTGAGAGTAAACTCATTTCATGGCTAGAGAAATTTCATATCTTCCTCATACATGCATTCATTTAACCTGAATTGACTCTGTTTTAATTATCTTCAGATTTTTGACATTATATGTAGTCAATCTTCTATCTTCAACTAGATTTTATAGAGCATGCCATTTTGAACTGATTATAATTATTATATTTCATCAGGAGCTACATGTTTATGAAGTAGATTCATAAATGCATAGTAAACTCTCAAATTTTTTATTCCTTTTTGGTTGTTTTAGCTATAAGACCTCGAAAGTTGTTTAATTTTTCCTTAACTTACAAAGCCTACCTTCATACTTTCTCAAATTTCAATGACAGATTGTACAGATTACACAGTTATAATTATGTGCTTTAAAGAAGACCAAACAACCATTCAGGGAAAAAAAAGTTTGATTACTCAATGCTGGTACAATTCGTCTTTGTGCTAGATTCTAAAAGATTCAGCACGTTATTTTCTAGCACTCTTTCCTCTTTGCTACCTGTAGTGAGAAAGTGTTTCTAAAATGATTGGCACAATAATCCAGCCGAAAAACTTTATATTTACTCCTAACAGCTGAAATCAATGACCAAACCAAGTTGTGTCGATATTGATAATTTTCATTTTTATTAAGTATGGAAGACTGCTCATTTGTGCAACAACAACAATTGTAAGATCTTTGAAAATTGATATGACTTGAAATAAACACATCTGTACAGTGTACTAATGTTACTTAAGCATGGCTGACTTTGCCCTGTGTTATATCATATATATCATATGTTAGTCATTGGACAATTTTAATCTTTTGACGTCTATTTTTTCATGTGATGTATGTTGCATAAAGTATATGCATTTAATGTCTTGTTCTGAATGCATTTATCTCTTGTTAATGTGTTGGTTGAGATTTCATGTTTGAGTTACAAAAATAATTTGTCTTCGAATACATTTCTTTTCCTTTATAATTTGGTATTTAAAGCCATATATGATGTATTTTTGATAAGTTCAAATAAGAAAAATTAAAAACATCTTTCTATTTGTTTTATTACTTTATATAAAGATAATACATTTCTATAAATTACACAATTTATTAATCAAAGATATCAAAAATTTAAAACAACTGATTTATTTACTGACTCCACATTTGAATAATAGACAAATTTAAAGTCAATTTAACTATATAAACATGAGGTTATTCAAGTTCAAAATCGGTGAAAATTTTATTTTGAACGTAAATAACATATGTATATCTACACTCAATCTCGTATTATTATTTTTTTAGCCCAGATACACCATATATAGCTTTAACATTTTAAGTTCAAAATTTATTTTATCTAATTACAATGTAGTTCTATTTTAAAAAGTAAAACCAGTGAAATTTAGATCTAATAGAGTAGAATTTTTATTTTTCACTAATATTTTTTGTTCAAAACTTTCTGAACTTAATGTACATAAGATAATAGCATTATAAAGCAGTGCTGAGTTGACTTCATTGATTTAACAATTGCAGCAATAATTGTGATGCATTAATATTGTATGTTTCCCCATTTAATATGACAGGACAATGTGTGAGAATTATTTTTTATATAAACTTTTCCTATCATGTACCTTTCAACCTTTGCCTTTTTGGTTAATTTGTGTAACAAACAAAATGGACTCATTACAAATATTTCTGCTATTGTTGAACCAGTGAGGCCATTCCGCACTGCCATGACACAGTAAGCTGTATTAACCTCTTATGTTGGCTTATACTGTGCAGTGTCTTTTGAATGAGAGATGACAGAAATTGAAATATGCCCTTTCTATTTTTAACCAGGAAATCCCACCCCCAACAGATGAGGAACAAGAGCAGGAACAGGCGCTGAAGAGCAGCTTCCGTCGTGTCGCTGGGGAGGACCTGGAAATTGATGCCTATGAACTGAGGGACATCTTAAATGCCGTGTTTACTAGAGGTAATTCTAAAGTCATTCCTAGGAAAAATTGTTAGAATTCTGTGATTCTTGTTTACCAAGCAGGGATCCTTCTATCTGACTAATTTCTATACACTCTAAAGAGTTGTTATTTTTACACTGATCAGAATTTTGTGTCTTTTTAAGTAAAAGATTCCAAGCATTACCATTTAACATGTTGATTAGAATCATTATGTACTTTTGAAGTATTAGATATTGTTATAAATACATGTATGTACTGAATTAACAATAATTAAATTCCTACAAAGAGGGAAATGTTGGTAAGACTATGCACTATAGGATCACTTAAACAAAATATAAGTGTTAATATAATGGTACACTATAACACTGATGTAAAAGTGTAAACATGCTGCAAAATATAAGAATGCTTGTATACATGTAATTGTTAAACTTGCATGAAATTATTCTTGCATGGTCTATTATTGCACAAAACGTAGTAAGAATAAAATGAGAGCTTTTTTGTAGGAGGTATGTTAGCTGCAATAATGTAGCCCTCTCCGATTTTTTTAATCTGATATTTTCTGGAGAGGCAAAAAAAAAAAAAAAAAAAAAAAAAAAAAAAAAGGGGAGAGGGCTACATTATTGCAGCTAGAGGTATGTGTATTCTAGACATATGTTTAAATTACAGAAAACAGAGATAACAACCAAAAAAACAAATCCCTTACCTGAGACAGAGCCTTAAGAAATAGGGAAAACCAGAATCTTGCTAACATTAAATGATACATGTGTCAGTAATTCTATAATATCTGGACCAATACAAGGAATAAAACATGAAAAATAGCCAGTTGGACAACATAATTTAGTAAAGGACATTTCATTAAGTTGTGTCTATATTGATAAAAACAAAGAAACATCCACAAATCTAGCATCATTACCATTGTAAAGTAATTTCAGTACAGTGATGTGGTCATAAATAGTACTTATTTTAAACAAGATGTGTTTGTGAAACATTGATGTTCCTGTATGGCAACTTATAGCATAACTTATAACATAAGGAGTTTATATCTCTCAGTTGATTCAATACGCCAGAGCATGCTCTATGTATGAACAATTTCTAAAACGAGGTAAGTTATTGACAAACAAGTTGATGAAACAAGAATATCAGCAGTCTCGTTTAAAGTCATCATTTCGTAAGTTCTATGGTCAATACAATGACCTAGTCTGCAAATATAATCTATCATTAAGTCAAATGCTGACTGACTTTTTTGCATACTAATTGTTAGGCCATTATTTACACACAATTGTCGACGGATTTGTCCGTCATTTCCCGATCATGACAAGGAGCACACGACGGGTGTGACCGGTTGGCAGGGGATACTCACTCTTCCATGGCACCTGATCCCACCTCTGATGTCTTAGAGGTCTGTGTTTGCTCTTCGCCTATTTGGTGATGTTTAATGGACTTTTGAGCTCGAATACTATTCATTATCTCCACATATTTCATAGCAAAGGTTAAACTTTCTCAAATGCAAATCAAATATGTTGGTACCCAAAGTAAAGTCTTGTACCGAGGAATATACCTGTGAAATATGGAAGCCCTAGCAGCAACCATTGAAAAGATATGGAAAAGGTTAAAGTTTTTCAAAAGTAAGTCAAACATCAAGGTCAAGGTCAAAATTAATGGTGCCCAAGGAAAGGCCTTCTCACAAGAAATACGCATGTGAAATATGAAAGCCCTAGCACCAACCCTTTAAAAGATATGGCCATGGTTAAATTTTTTTCAAAAGTAGGTCAAACTCCAAAGTCACGGTCAAAGGGTTAAAGTTGTTGGTATCCTAAGTAAGGTCTTGTCAAAAGGATTCCATATGTTAAGTATGAAAGCCTAGAAGCAACTGTTCGAAAGAAATGGCCATGGTTAAAGTTTTCCAAAAGTAGGTCAGACTCCAAGGTCAAGGTTAATGGGCTATAATTGTTAAAGTTTTTGTAGACAAACAGACAGTCAGACGGACAGGGCAAAAACTATATACCCCCGAGTCTTCGATACGGGGGCATAAAAATAGGATTCATTTATCATTGAAATAATTAACCAGAAGTTGCCTCCTAATAATTTTTGAAATCTGGCACAAATCTGGTATCAACAAATATGGTATCAAGTTAAAATTCCGGGGGAAATTGTTACAGAAGTTAGTGAAAAGGAAAGTTATTTCTAGCAAATAAGTTTTAATTCTAGCAAGAAATAGATAATCTCAGTTTTTAATATGTTGACTTAAAAGTATTGAGTAGTTTGTTCTCAAAACAAGGAAGTTTTTTACCTCAACTATGAGACCTTTCTTGGACTACCTACCATTATGGAAGTTCAACTTTTAAGAGACAACAAATTTGTTTAATTCATTTTTTTTTTTAAAGAAAGTAATTATTTTAATCATCCGACATGAAACTAGAATCAATAGAGGTACGTAATCTTCCTTTAAAAGAAATAAAATTATATATAAATGTTACAGAGCATAAGTGTGTGCTAAAACTATTCAATGGTTATAGAATACAGAAGCAAAAATTCACTTGCATGATAACACATCTGACACAATGGAACTGTAACTTGCATATTTGCATGCTAAATACAAAAAAATTAGCAAAAGCACTTGTATGTGAATTTAGTTTGTGGAATGATAATGTAAATAAGATTAGAAACTGAAATGATTAAAAAAAAAAAAAACCCAATGAAACTCTCATCTTTTTGATTGTCCATATTTTATGTTATCTCTATCAATTAAGTAATATTTCCATCTTTCTTTTTACTGGCATGCTAAAAAAAATCTGCTAACAAAATTTTGATAATGAAGACTTGTAGATGTTATTGGTAGATGTCCTTAAATGTTGCTAGAGTGTAAAAGCATGAATATATGAGTGATTGCCTGAATACTTTACAGATTTAGAGTAAGTTTGATGATTGACACATACTTGATCTTTGTAGAGTTTTCCTTCGATGGCTTCTCCTTGGAGACATGCAGAAGTATGGTAGCCATGCACGATGTATCCTTTCCAATTAAGTTTACACATTTTATATAAAAATTGAAAATCATAACAAGATTGAATTTTGTTCCTTAAATAGCAAATGATTATTTACTTTGCAATAAGAATGAATTTTTTTATATATGTTTATATCATACTTTTTTTATGATACTGAATTTCTAGGTGAAAAAATATGTAGATCAGCAGGCTAAAAATTGTTTGTTTGCCCTCTCCTAACCAACTGGCTAAAAATGGTCTGACTCAAAACTTTTTTTTAACCTCCAGGAAATGATATTTTTTTTTATTTTCATTCTAGATTTTTCTCATCCAATCAACAATTATTTCAATTTTGTCTGAAAATATTTTGAAAATTCAGGATTGATATTGAAATTTTCGGGGGGGGGGGGGGGGGGGGGGGTCCCCACCTACCTACCAACCCAAGGAGAGGACAAACATTATTTTAAAGATGGCCTCATTTTATATCTTAATATATATATATAAGCAGGTATAGGAAATTTTGAGGAACATTAAAATGCAACATTTTCAACTTCTCCTTTAGCACTGTCTGCTTATTGTTAATTAAGAACTTTAACTAAAGAAAGGGTGATCTCTCAGGAAAGTTAGGATTTGATGAATTCAAAGTTTTGTGGGCTGACTTAAGAAGATGGAAGGTAAGATTTAAACTTTCTGGGTGATTATTGTCAAGGCAACCAGGTTAGGGATAGTTCAGATAGGAATGAAATTCTCTATTTCTCTTTCCCACTTAAGGCAAATTATGAGAGAATACATACTAAAAGCTCTTGTTTGGCACAACGGCTTGGCCAAGATCATGTGCCCATTTCCAACTAAATCATGTTATATAGAAGTAACTCTTTATAGTTACATCTAATCTAAATGTCTTTTATTGCATTGCAAAGATCAGAAGGAGAGCTTTCCATTGGTATATAATATCATATATTTAGTATCTGCATTTTTGAAAAAAACAACAGAATAAAGTCAAAAATTTGTAATTTTTGAAGCGTTATGCTGTTGCACTTGATTTTTTACATTTTAAATAATGGTTAATTAAAATTATTTTGAATGAAACATTCCAAAATAAATATGCTTTATTATAGAGAAATCATTCTGGTTAAGTTTATTTTTTACAGAAAAGAAAAAGGATAAAAATTGTGGAAATTATGAATAAATATGTGCAGATATACCTTTGTTATATAATTTAAGATTTTTCAATGTTTGAATAAATGCATAATTCCTAGCAAAAAAGAGCAAATAAAATGGGTTTAAAATTTTTTATTTTACTTAAGAAAAAAAGTAATGAGAAAAATATATTGGTTAAATTGTAAAATGTGTGCGCATTTTGTATTTTATTTTCCATAGTGGTCTAATATTGTGTATAGTCCGTAGCCCCATATTTCATTATAGTTTGTGTTCAACAAAAGAATGTAGAATTAATCATGCTCTTGTTTAATATTTTCACAGTTACCAGTAAAGTGAAAAACAGTAATGAATAGCTTTTGCGACAACACTAAAAGAAGTTATAGAAGAATGATTGGTGTCCGTAGCCCTGTATAGTCCGTAGCCCTAATATAATAACTTCCAGAAAAAATCATATACATTATTGATACAATAACTACAATATAAAAATATGTTTATTCGAACAAATGCAATGTTTTTAAATACAAATACCACAGTAATAAAAGTTAAAATGTCTGAAAATTAATATTTTTCAACTAAAGGCTTGCTTCTGTAGTCTTTTCTGTTATGTTTGTGGTCACAACATATTTCTAAATATACATGATAAAGTTTTCCTTCTTGTGATACATACTATCAGTCTATTTAGAATAATTAGCATTGGAATATTTTTAAAAGAATATTTAGCCACACAAATCCTACTTACAAAAGGGGCTGCGGACTCTACAAATAAACTTAGCAAATATACAAACCATATAACCGTACTTCTGTATTAGCAAGAGATTTTTTTCCTACTTCTATCTACTGCAAAATGGGGCTTCAATGGTTTATTAGTTCTCATCGACCCGTCTTAACATCCCATTGTGGGATTTGTGGGATTTGATCCCAAAACATAAGATCAACTCCTTACTTTAAAATTTAGTACAAAGTGAGACCTACACTCTTATAATTGTGCCACCCAATCTACTTGTCACTGAATTGTTCATTTAAAAAAAATTATTCATTCTTTATGGATAAATATTGTACTTTTTGTGTTTCATACTTCAAATGGTCAATCATGTTTTGTAATTTTTTTTTTTTGAATTACACCATATGATTATGATAAATCATATACTGATACACCTTTTGAATGACCATCTTGAGTTATATGCATTACATTAAATCAAAAAAAAAAATATGAAGCAATATTGTCCATAACCCCCCCCCCCCCCCCCCCAAAAAAAAAATCATGCCCTGATTTCATTACATGCAGCTCCTGTTGCTTTTATTCATTGCAGTTTGAACACCAATAATGCTTTAATTAGTTGAACTGGATTTTCATTTGGCATTGAAAGTACATAGTACATTAAACAATTGATTTTTTAAGTATGGTATTATAAATACTCAAACTAAGTGGCGTGAACTGTTATGGAAAACAAATTAATAAAAAAAAAATTTACCCAAATTTTAATTATACAATTATATTTTCTTTAAGTTGATTGTCAACAATAGAGATGTTTAACAGACGTGCTCAGATGAAATTCATCCTTCTTAAATGCTAAATTGAAGCTCATTCTTGGTTTTTTAGATGGTTTTAAACAATATTTTGTTATCAAAACACCAATTACATGTAATTCTGACATGTATTATTTTGTTTTGACAATTTATATTTTACTCATATTGTGAATTTATATAAAGTTTTTGTTTTATTTTGTTAAATTTCACAGGATTTGGTATAAATTGATTTAATATCCAAATGAAAGGATTTATTAAACAAGTGTGAACTCCAAGAAGATAATTTTAACAAATATTTACTGATACAAGCAACTTTTTTTCTATGGTCTCTCATTAAATGAAAATACTATATGTATAGTCCGTAGCCCAAGGTCTCAAAATAGTCAATCAAAAAATATTTAACACAGTTTTTCTCTGAGTGTTACCAAATAGGTTTGAAATTTTCATCCCCATATACAGTATCTATAGAAAAATTGAAAGTACTTTAATGTATTTTTATTTCAAATGTCCAAATATTAAGAGTAGAAAAACACTCAAACATTAACAAATTTACCCATGTCCTTTATATACTGTAACATTTAAATGGAAATGAATTATGTGACTTTTTTTGCTCAGACAATACTTTATGAAGAGTTTGTATTAGAATTATACTTTTTCGTTCAGTTGAATATGATAAAGGTAAATGTTATGCCTGAATATGTATAGTCCGTAGCCCACTTGGGTCTCTGCTATAGTAAGAGTGAAATCTTTTTAACCGCTTGACAGAAATGGACAGAAATTTCATACAATCTGCCAAAAGGATGTAGTGTTACATAGAACATACTTGTAATACATTTCATTTGACTTCATTTTTTTGTTAATCTGCAACCAACATGGGCACCTGATCTTGGCCAAGCCGACAAAGGTTACAGTACTAGTATTACCAGAGGGTTTGCCTTGACTTGGCTAAGGTCACAGGACACTGAAGTGTTAGATTTTTATATATACTACATGTAGTACATGTACCTATGTTTTACATACATGTACCTATGTTTAGGTCACCTGAGTTTACTCAGGTGACCTATTGCTATCTGTTTTCGTCCGTCGGCGTGCGTCGTCCGTCGTGCGTTAACATTTGAACATTTTCAGCTTCTTCTCTGGAACCACTGAACCAATTTCAACCAAATTTGGCACATAGCATCTATATGTGAAGGGGAGTAAAAATTGTGAAATTCATGACCCCTACCCCCCTGGGGCCTGAGGGGTGGGGCTAAAACCATCAGAATTAATGCAATCTTTAAAAATCTTCTTCTTTACTCCTGGGCATCAAGCAGGCAAACTGTTGGCATGAATGTAATAAGCATTGAGCCCTCTACCTAAATTGTGAAATTTATGGCCCCAGGGTCAGGGGTTCTGGTGCTAGGGTGGGGCTCTGTTGAATATGTAGTGAAAAGCATTATTCTTAAAAAATCTTCTCCTCTGCTCTTCGGTATTTAGGAAACAAACAATATGCATAGTTATGATGAAGAAAGGTGTCTCTTCTAAAATTGTGAATTTCATGGCCCCTGGGTCAGGGGTTCTGGTGTTAGGGCAGGTATCTAATGATTATATAGTGAAAATGCATTAATTATTCAAAAATCTTCTCCTCTGCTCCTGGGTACTAAGCCAATGAACTAAGTACATAGTTATGATGAGAAAGAGTGCCTCTTCCAAAATTGTGAATTTCGTGGCCCAAGGGTCAGGGGTTCTGGTGTTAGGGTGGGGCTCTGTTGAATATATAGTGATAATGCATTATTTCTTTAAAAAGCTTCTTCTGTGCTCTTGGATATTATGAAAACAAAATGAATACATAGTTATGATGATGAAAGGTGCCTCTTCCAAAATTGTGAATTTCATGGCCCCAGGGTCAGGGGTTCTGGTGTTAGGGCAGCGTTCTGTTGAATATACATGTATAGTGAAAATGCATTATTTCTTTTAAAAATCTTCTCTGATCCAGGGCAAACAAACTGAAGGCATAGTTATGATGAATAAGGGTGCCTATTCCTATGTTGTGAATTTCATGGCCCCCTGGTCAGGGGTTCTGGTTTTAGGGCGGGGCTCTAATGATTACATAGTAAAAATGCAATAATTCTTTGACAATCTTCTCCTTTTCTCCTGGGTAATAAGCCGATGAACTAAGAGTATAGTTATGATATGTAAGGGTGCCTGTTCCAATATTGTGAAATTCATGGCCCCTAGGTCAGGGGTTCTGGGGTTAGGGTGGGGCTCTGTTGAATATATAGTGATAATTAATGCATTATTTCTTTAAAAATCTTTTTCTTTGATCCTGGGTATTTAACAAACAAACTGATGCATAGTTATGATGAGTAAAGGTGCCTCTTCCAAAATTATGAATTTCATGGCCCCTGGGTCAGGGGTTCTGGTGTTAGGGTGGGGCTCTAATGATTACATAGTAAAAATGCAATAATTCTTTGAAAATCTTCTTCTTTTCTCCTGGGTATTAAGCTGATGAACTAAGAGTATTGTTATGATATGTAAGGATGCCTCTTCCAAAATTGTGAATTTTATGGCCCCTTCATCATGGTTCTGGTGTTAGGGCAGGGCTCTAATGATTACATAGTGAAAATGCATTAATTCATTGATAATCCTCTGCTCTCTTTCTGGGTATTAAGTAAGCTTACTCAGTGTAAAATTATGATGAGCAAGTGTGCCTCTTTCGAAATTGTGAATTTCATGGCCTCTGGTTTAAAACATGAATCCATTGTGGCGAAGTTGTTGCATGATACTCAGGTGACCTATAAGGCCCGTGGGCCTCTTGTTTATATATACTATACAAATGTGCATTGTACATATGTTTTATATATACTAGTACATGTACATATGTTTCGTACATGAACCAGTTACTCTTGGAAAAGGTAAAATCTGGGTTAAGTGGCAAAATTCTGGTAAAATGACAGGGGTTTTAGAAATAGATGCTGTCCTTGGGATATAGTACCACAGGTACAGTAACTGTTCTGACATTGTTTTAATATTGATCAAATAACAAAAAAATTGTGTCCCGTTATAAGCATACGGCATATTATACCTCTGCTCTGAAGGAGGGGGGGGGGTATACTATTTTACCCTTGTGTGTCTAGCTGTCTGTGTGTAGGTCTGTCTGTCCCTAACAAATTTTCATTGCAGTTTCCACAGCAACTACTCTTCACAGATGCTTGAAATTTTAGCAAACTCTTTGTTTTGGCATGCCATATGGTGGGATTCATTTTTTACAAATCCAATGTCAACTACCTGTTTATTCATGTGTCTGTCTGTACCAAATTTCTGTCACAGTTTTCTCAGCAACTACTCAAGGCAGATGCTTGAAATTTTACCACACTCTTTTTGAGGCATGCCATATGGTAGGATTCATTTTTGTATGAATCTGATGTCAGTGTACTGTTTATCCCTGCATCTGTCAATACCAAATTTCCATTTCAGTTTTCTCAGCGACTACTCAATGCAGATGCTTGAAATTTTAGCAACAGCAACTGCTGTTTTTGCATGCCATATGGTGGTATTCATTTTTGTATGAATCCGATGTCAACTTCTTGTTTATCCATGCATCTGTCCGTACCAAATTTCTGTCACAACTGAACTTGTGTATATTCACATGATAGCGTATATTCACGTCAGAGCGAGGGTATTACTAGTGAGCATTGACTCGCAGACTTCTTGTGGGATCAGAAATAAAAATATTGTGTTCATTAGGCCAGTTACATGTAAATGTTTTAAAATTTGTTTAATTGTAGGGAGTATTTAAGGAGTACGACAGAGACAAGAGTGGCAAACTAAGTTCCTACGAGCTGAGATCTGCTCTACATGCCAGTGGTTTGTATCCTATATAATGGAAATTAATGGCATCCTCAATAATAGTCTTCTTCCGATATTTTGTTGTCTCAGGAAACAAATGTGACCTAAACTGAAGGCAATTAGTTGAGTTCATAAGCAACTGATGGCCCTTATCTGAATCAAATTTTCACAAAGGACAAGCTTTTAAATGGACAATGAAAATGAAGCATCTATGTATGCAAAATTTTATAATGATGTAATAATGATGTAAATAGCAGTTAAACATTTAGTCTGCATGTGGTATATTTTGATGAAATTAAAATATAGCATTTCATTGAACATTCCTCTGTTGTGGATTTGCCACACCTCTAGAGGATGTTCAAGATGAGCTGCGTTATCTGAGATTATCAATTACTAGTACGCCTGATATTTGATTGGTTACCTCTGTTTTTCCTCCATTTTTACTATAGTTTATGAGTAACAGAACATTTACCTTTGTTTTTTCTGTTTTTTCTATTTTTTACCAGGTTTCTATGTTTATTAGGGCCCCGGCAAGGATTTGCGGGTGCCCTATAGTAATCTGTCTGTCTGTCTGTCCATCTGTCATTCTTCCGTCCACAAATTTTCTGTTTTTTTCTAATAACTTTTTTTAGGGTTGACCAATTAAGTTCAAATTTGGTATGTTGGTTGAATAGGCAGTAAGACATATTCTGATGCTAAGTTCGGTCCTCTGTGTCATCCAGTTTGGAGCTGGGGTGGTGGGGTAGATTCCTTAACTTTATATAAGAGTGAATGGGCAAAGAGAGATAACTGGTAAGAATGTTCCTATTGTAAACTATGAAAGGCTGCAATGAGTCTCTTGGGATTAACTAACTTTCCTCTTGAGGAAAATCTAAAGCATTTATCTTTATCTGTCACATTGAGATTAACACCTCTGTCTGCAAAGTTTGTTTTGAAGTTAAGGTCAATTCTGAATGATGTTTACATTCTCTGATATGTAGATTTAAATAATGTTCATACTTTATTTTGGTAAAATACACAATGAGTTATTTATGATTTTATTGAATTCTAAAAGCAAGATATAGATAAATTATCTTTTTTATAATAATTTTATTTTTTTTCCTTTTTTCTTTCTTTTTTCTGCCTTATGTAAATTCAAGAATACTATTTATTTTAACAGGTAATCAGACAATAACCTCATTCTATCATTGCTGAAAAAGTTCTTATTGTAAACTTAGAAGAAAAGGTTGAGAGAGCAGTATAATTAATCCCCTGGGATTGATTATCTTGCTGGTTGCAGAAAATTTTATATGGTTATGTTTCTGTCACTTTGAGGTTAATTAACACCTTTGTCTGCAACTGATGTTTGTTTGGAAGTTAAGGTCAAGCCTGGGTGATATTTGCATTCACTGAAGGCTGGCATTTTAGAAAACACATGCTTCATTCTTCTTTAAATATACATTTAATTGAGTTATTATAGATATGATGTTTTTTCTGCCTTATGTAAATACAAGGAAACTATTTACAGGTTGTTGGACATTTAGCAGTTGCTGTTGCTTATTCTTCTTTATATATTTTTAAATTTTTGTAATCAAGTAAAATTCTCATCCCCTAAGCTGCACCCTTATATTTCTACCCCTCGGCGGGGCCCTTGCTGACTGGTCAGATTTCTAGTTTACCTCTGTTTTGACTAGGTTTCCGTCTGAGTAACAGAACATCTACCTTTTTATCTGTTTTATCTCCATTTTTTATCAGGTTTCTATATTTACCTCTGTTTTGACTAGGTTTCCGTCTGAGTAACAGAACATTTAGTGCTCTGGTAATGAGGTACAGCAGCAAGGACGGCCAGGTGGAGTTTGGAGACTTCATTCTCTGTGCCATCAGAATGAAGACCATGCTTGGTAAGGGAATGTATCAAAGGACACTTTCATTTTGTTGAGAATTAGTTAAGACATGGGAGATTTCAAGTTTTAGAATATATTTATTTTTCTTAATAAATAGAAACACTTCATTAATTTAAAACACATTTTCCTCTTTTTGGTGCATTAACATGACATATATTTACTGTAAACCAATTATTATTCGCGAAATCTTTTTATTCGCAATTCTTCAGTGTGGAATCCATCCACAACTTCCAATTTTTGCGACCGAGGCAACAATCAACATAAACACATGGGTGAATAATTGGCTTGCGATAAGATTTATTCGGAAGTAAAAGAAGGTCTTGAAACTCGCAGAAATTTCTCAATTGCGAATAAAAGTTGGTTTACAGTATGTATTTCTACTGTCCGCAAAAGCCAATAATTTACGATTAGTCTGAAAATTTGACTTATGTTTATGTATTTCTAGCCTCTTTCAAGAACATTGATGTGGACAACTCTGGGCATGCTGCCTTTGATCTGGATGGAGTAAGTGAACCTAGAATTCATTCAAAAAATATTTTCTGTTTAATTTAATTGTATTGATGGACTAAGAAAAATTGGTCCTGGAAAATATATATCTAGTAATATTAAAACCAGACATTTACTGTTGCAGTCACACATGATTTCAGTTTAATTCACATTTTATGATGCAAAAAAGATTTTTACAAGTTTGTAAAACAAGCCACTGTATTTTATTTTCAGTTTATCCAGACCGTGATGTATTCATAAACCTGTTGGCTACTACTGCTTTTGACTAGGAGAGCTTCCAGATTTAGGAAAGCTTCCAGATTTTTGACTGTTGAAGAGATTTCTTCACAAGAACAAACATTAATAATTAGGAATATATCTACATTTGTAGATCAATTTATTGGGATATTGAATTGTTTCTTATTCACCTAGTAAACTGTTTGTAAAGACTTTTTAGCTATGCATGGCTCCTTGTTTTTGTTAGTCCTGCATTACGTAATGGTTGGATACTTTTGTAGATGTTTACACATTAGCAGCTGAGCAGTGCAATAACTGTTGATACCTCGAGAATGTTGTTAGTGTGTGGAATCTCTTCTGTGTGTACAGTATCAGATATTAATATATATACAAATCTGACATATCTTTTCCTTCCTTTAATGTTTTAAAACAAAATTAATATATACTCAATAGTTTGTTTTGTGGAGGTTTTTTTCTTAATATTTACACAAATGTACATTTTTCTGATCTTCAGTTTTATTTTCCACATCTGTAAATACATGTATTTACATTTTATTAAAAAACAACACAACATATACGATATTTATACATATAGAAGTATTTTTTTATTCTTTAGTAATGTTTTTTTTGTGCATCTCTGCTTCTTGTTTTCTAATTAATAATTAACAAGTACCCTGTAAATATGTGTCAAGAGGCTCTTTTTTTTAGAGAGTGGTGACATTCAACAGGTGTACAGCATTTAAACAAATTTATGGCATTAATTTTTTCTGGTGCTCATGACCATATTTGCCTTCTAAGATATTTAATCATTCTATATATGATCTGAAAGTGTCAGGAATGTTGTTTTATATCACTTGTTTAATGATAAACCCCAGTTCAAAGCTTTTTTTTTACTCTTATATGCTTCACACATTTAATTTTTACACCCACAATTTGATTATTATATCTTTTGATCCTACTTTGTAGATATAGGTGTTGTAATAAGTACATGTACTTATTTTATTATATACATACAATGTTGTCTCTCTATTGAGGACATTTGGTTTTTCTGCTGGTTGGCCCCAGGCCGTGTTTGATGGGCAACAACTGTTCATAAGTTCTTATACTGTAGAATATATTATTGGATATAGAATAAAACCAAATGTCGAAAGTATAAATCTTTTGTGTACATTATTTTTATGGTACATAGCTTATGCCAAACATTAAAGGAATTTTCCAGCGACAAGCACTGGCCTTGAATGGTGTACTGATTAGGGTACTGGCATAATCTCTCCTTGCTTTTTCTCCTGGGGAAAATGGAGTGTGAACACATGGGGACAAAATGAAGAAGCGCAATTGCTCAGGGTGACAACACAAGGAAGTACCATCAAGACTGCTGAGCATATATGCAAGGGAATGCAGGGGATGGGGCAGCAATGCTAATGCACACCCTTAAAGAAAAGGAAGCAAAAAAGTGCAAGAGCAATGATGTGAGGGTGACAAGATGAGCATCACCCACATTATGCAGTGTCACCCTTGCTTCCTTTATTTTCATTACTTGTGTTCCCTTACCCCAAAGGTAAGGAAGGGAGGGTGCAAGTAGCCCTCTTAGTTTATCACTTTTAAGGCTGTATGGTCTGTGAAATCTTGCTTCAAACGAGTTAAATTATGGTACATATAAGTGTTACCTCTGAACAAGGTCACAAAGTGTGATCCCAAATGTACAGTCAAAAGCAACCCTTATACATACAATAGTCACAAATTCTTATCATTAATAGTTTATTTAGGTTAAAATAAACATGTAGATCATCATACAAACCTCTCAAAACTACCACATTACACTTTCACTGATGTCTTGTCAACTCGGTACAAGGAATATTCTGTAAGCAGATTTTATGAAATAATGAATTAAATAAATTTTCATAACAGTTCAGCATCATGTAGCTGTAGAATTGTCCACTTCCACATTGGTCATTTCTGAGTCATCCTGTACATTGTCACAGGGACTGTCCTCCAAACACATGGCCTCAGTTTGTCTGTCTATCTGTCCTTCCAACCCTCCATTGTCATCTTCCTCCGTGTTAAAGTACTTCTCTTCTTCATCACGATCAAGAAGGTCAAGGTCATCATAATCAGCATTGTAGTCCACCGAGCTTAGTAAAGAAAAATTTTACTGTAGTCTTTAGTTTCAAAAAAGCAATTTTCTCACTTTTAATTAGATATTTGGATATGGACACAAGAATGTTATATGAGGGTTAAAATTAAGTCTTCTTTAAATTTACATTAAACAGAATGCAGAAGTCCAGACAATAGAAGAACATGTAAAATACATGTAATGGAGAAAGATGGTGTTTTGTTGATCTTAGATTGACTGACCTGTAATCAAAATGTCTGTCCTCTCCAGCCATAAACCTTTCCTTCATGATCCGAGTAAATTCCGCTCGCAAATCCTGTCTCTTCTCCTCGGATACCTCTTCTGGGTCATCCTCGATTTCTTCCTCTGAATAAAAGAATTTAGTAATACAGTGCTGTATGCAGAGTGCAATTAATTGTCTCATTTAATTTAGACATCCTTCCCCTCTCTCTTAGCCTTTTTCTGCCCAAACTGTACCACTTAAAATAATAAAATAACAGTAGGTATTACTTTGACAAATCTTAAAAATGTATATACAAGGGTGTTGGCAAAGGGGCGGCGTTGGTCACCTCAATAGTTTTGCCAAAAAAGGAAAGAAAGAAAATAAAAAAATATTTAATTTGTAACAGCTTTATCTGCTCATTGGAGCAGCGATCTGTAGTCAATGGATCGGCAAAGTGTGTACACAGATGCAAAAATGGATATACCTGCATGTAACACCTGGTGTGTTCAAATAGTAAACAGAGCTTAAGTATCCTTCATCACTGTAATTGCAGGTTTGTTTATTGTCTACTTAATGGGTCGACTGATTTTCGAGCTTTCATGATTCAAAATTTCAAGTCACTGAACAATTATCAAAAAAAATATATTAAAATGTTTAAGGAATCACTGTCTAGTTAGTAGAGTATGCCAGGGCATCAACGATAGTTGGAAACGTGGGATAATTTGTATAACGGGCATAATACACATTCATGATATATTGTCACCACTACCTCCCCATTTTACTGGTTTTTATTTTATTATTAACATATCCTCAATCCTTCAATTATACAAAATCTTAGGTTAATGCTTACAAACAAATAATTAAATGATTGGCTTGATAATAATAAACTAGTTTCTTTCTAATCATTATGTAAATTTGGAATTTTTTGATCTATGTTTACAAAATGAATTTTTAACCACCCTTCTTAGGTCTATTCAGCTATGAAACCCACATTTATTATATTTCAATCTTTGTTGTTTGATCAATAATAAAGAAAAAGAAGGTGTGTGTCATTAAGTAAGTTCTCTCTTGTTGGGAAGAGATAATTGCCCTTCAGATCACAGCTTTAAATTGCAATCAAAACAAATCAACTCCTCTAAAGAGATATTCATTCCATGATTTAGAAGACAAAGCCAATGGAGATAATTATTTCAATTTAAAATGCTCCGCTAGCTTTAGAAAAGAAAAACTTTCAATTTGATTATTATTTTAACATCTAAACAGATTTTTATGAAAGAATTTTCTATCTGTACAATTCTATTTATGAAGTAAAATTGTTCAACATAAATAGCAATTTAGGATGTTCAGGTTACCTTCAAAGAAAATATTTAATTTGAGGGGTTACAGTTGCGACTCATTTTACTCTATTAAAATACTCACTTTTAATCAAATATCATAAGCCATGTAATTTGTGTACAATCATGTAGGTTTTGTGTGGTGGAAACTGCATCAAACTGATCTCGGATAGTTCTTTAAGAGATTCTTATTGTTTTGTAAATAAATGTTATTATTTAAAACACAGTGATAAACAATGCCTATAACATATTTCTTGTACTGTTTGTGCAGAGGCTGAGCTTATATATACAAATAAATGATGTTCTGTATATTCATTGACAAGGATTATAAAAATTTTCAAAAAAATTAAAAATGTAATTTGTAATTTAATTAATTACTTTTGCAAAGTAATTGTAATTTAATTAATTACATGTCTTAGAAAGCCTGTAATTTAATTGTAATTTAATTGAAGAAAAAGTCAAAGTAATTGTAATTTAATTAATTACTTTTTAAAGTAATTGACCCCATCCCTGCTACTAACTAGACAGTGATTCCTTATATTTCCATTTCATTGTGAAATAAAATTGTAAATTTAGATTTTAAAAATGTAGACTAATAGATTTAAATTACACACAGTCCCCGCCCACTGACGTCAAACACAAAGACAGCCGCACGAGAATTACATGCATATTATGCCTTCTTAGCTCCTGACCTTTCGCTTGGCGAAATTTGCATTCCAGTGGAATGATCAAGAAATCAACTCTCCTAACTTTCAAAGAGTTATCAGAGAGAAAACAAATCAAAATGGAAATATTTGAGTATAATACTGAAAGCTAGGTTAAAAGCACTGTCTAAAACAACTTGAGATCATTTTTATTAATACTACTGTTACACAACTTTCTGCATTTCATTTTAAATCTAGGGATTAATAAGGATTAATCAACCTGTTAATTTAAATTTTTCTAGGCATATCTTTTTTATTTTGGAAGAAAACATAGAGTAATAAATTTTATAATTTTGATACAGTTACCATGGTTAACATCGTCATAAATGGTAACCATGTATAAGGTTTAAACCAAAAGAGGTTGCACAAACTCAGTTATTGATTCTACTTGCTGCAAGCACGCTAATATTCATTCATCTATGTGCTCTTATAAGTGCTAATGACGTGAAAAGTAGATTTAAAAAAGCACACACACACATAAAACAACTAAGTTTTTTTTAATCAAGTGGTGCCTTTAGGCCATTGACAAATGGAGAAAAAAATATCAAGATTTGAAAATTTGAATTGAAGTTAAAGCAGATAAATTAGGACCCACCCTTTTTGACCCAGTTCACCTCCCAATGTCAAATACTTGTTGAGGCCCCTGATACAAAGGAGACAGGCTTATACTACAGTAAACTTATACTTTCCTTATTAAATAAGACAACTGTACCTTCATCACTGGTATCCTCCTCTTCCACTTGACATTCCTACATCATTTGTCAGAAAAAATACAATATCATAAAGACATAATATAACATTCATTCACTTTTTTCCCTTTCTTTTTTTCAAAATTTTACAAATGTTTAATCCATAAATAATAGGTCTCCCACCTCTTTTTCTTTTTCCTTCTTATACAGTTCATTTTCCTCCATATTATCCATGTGTTTTAATAAAATGGTGGAGAATCGAAGGTCAGACTTGTCAATCATTTTCTGAGCCTCCTCCTCTGTTATAAACTGACCAATCAACTGTTCATAGAGATACGGATCCCTGTACTTCATCTCTTCTTCACTGAAGTATTCCCCATCGTGCTCCAACTTTTTCATCGCTTCATAGCGTCTGTTTTTCACTACATTTGTACAGAAATGTGCATTACAATTTTTCCTAATTTCTTGTAAATAAAAGTTAACTTCATAATCATCTTTCTTCTCACTGAAATAACTCATGTCCTCTAGTGACAGATGCTGCCAAAACCTGGCCAGAAATGTGTTATCTCCCTTCTTTAAGACTTCTTCTGCTATCTGTAGTTTCTCTGCCTTAGTGAGATCAGACTCGCCTAACTGCTGATGTTTAAAGTGAGCATTTGATTTAGCAACACGTTCCAGCATTCTCTCCTTAATGTTTCTCAAATCTGAATCAATTTCTGTATCCTCCATTTTGCTATCCTCTTTGTTTGGTTTCACTGATGAGGACTGATTGTGAAGATCCATCATGCTGGTGTTCAGAATTTTAAATAAAATGTGACAAACATCTTCTTAAATGTCATTTGTCTTCTGGAAATGAAAAAAATAAAACTACATTAGAAATATCAGGAAAAAAAAAATAACATAACAGCACTAAAAATAAAACCTTATTTTAGTTATATTAATACTTATGTTAAAACTGGTGGAAAAATGATAATACCAGTAAAATTCTAGATATATAAATGTCAAAATATTGAAAAGCATCAACTTTATTAGGGTTCAACTCAACTCTGACATTTTAACTACAGTGTTTGCAGTCTGTGTTCTTTTGTAATCTTCCTCGGTTACATGTAACTACTATTATTTACTAGGTTTGTTAACTACTTCTGAGTATTATTTACTAGGTTTGTTAACTACTACTGAGTATTATTTACTAGGTTTGTTAACTACTACTGAGGTTTGTTAACTACTACTGAGTATTATTTACTAGGTTTGTTAACTACTACTGAGTATTATTTACTAGGTTTGTTAGTGACTGTCTACTGAAACACATGTATATTGGGTTGATCAATCTCATAGATTTATAGGTTATTGATTGAATATCACGAAATATGCCCACCTAAGGAGGACCGAGCTTACAATATTCAGTCAATAACCCTTTTATTACATATTTTAATGCAAAAACATTTTTTCTTAGCATAGGAATAGATTTTCTCTGTATTTCTGCTCCCAAACATTCTTACAACATTGATAACAGATTTTTATGACATAAAATATATACATGTATGTGATGTCATTAAGAATGGAGAGATGAGAAAATATATTGTGATGTCACAATTGTAAATACAAAAGTAGTCCCCCAGGCATAACAGTGCACATGCAGACTTATATGGCTCTGTAAAAGCTCGGATTCTATCTATATAATTCAATGAGAAATATATCCAAATACGTTATTTAAGGTAATTAAGATATTGATCAACTTGATATACAGCTGAACTTCGGTATCTTGAACACTGATATCTCAAAAACCATGGATATGTAGAATTAATTTGGAAGTCCCAACACCTTTTTCTTTAAGTATTTTACCCTGAATATCTTGAATTTTTATCTCGCTCCCTTTGAGTTCGAGATAATGAGGTTTGACTGTATTTCTGTAGAAGTCACTGACAAACCTAATAAATGTTTTGTTTTGTCAAGGACAAGAAACAGTTAAATATCAATATTAATTAGAATTAAAGGATTTTCTCCTTTATTTGTCCTATTGTTGTTTACTGTGTGGCTGTAAGACAGGTTCGATTACCGGTGGCGAGACAGCTCAGTTTGTAGAGCACCTGACTAGAGATTCAGGGGGCACGGGTTTGAATCCTGGTCTGTTCCGCTTCATTTTTCTCCTCTCTCGTTACATTTGGTGCAGTGACCAGGATGTGACAGGTGAAAGACCCTTTAGGGAAGAGCCTGGGTTTGTGTCTTCGAGGGCCGAAGACCTTTAAGGAGGGAGGAATGTGGTGGTCAGACGGGTTTGGTCACCGGTGGCCAGAAAGCTCAGTTGGCAGAGCACCTGACTGGAGATTCATGGGGCCTGGGTTCGAATCCCAGTCTGGTCCACTGCATTTTCTCCTCTCTCATTAAAATTGAAAAGGAGCACTATCTCAAATTTAATTGCAGCATTCCAAATATGTAATGATTTGAATACAAGGCTTTCAAAACCTGCTGGTGCCCGGTGTTTTTTACCCAGCTGAAATCAGAATTGTTCCAGCCAAAAAATATTCACTGAAGAAAAATTCAATAACATTTTAATTTTAAAATTGCTTCTGCCATGTAACTCCTCTTCATGTAAAATACCACCTGTTTCAAATCTTTTTGAAAGCTCTGTGAATATATTGCTTTGTTTTAAAGCGACAAATATTGATAGCATAATTTTTTACTATAAAATATGGATAAAAAAACATTGTTTCATCCACCATGTTTTCGTCTATATAATTTGTTTCTCATCATCTAGTACATAAATATAGATGGCAGGCATGTGTCAGATGTCCATTTTCACATGACAATCATTCTAGTTTTATCGAGGTAAAACAAAAGTGCATTCTTTTTACCTTTACAAATGAAAAAAAAGTGCAATATAAATATTTCCTATACCCATTTTTCTGTAATTGTTTGCTAATGATCAATTTATTTATACTTGCTGACTATGAAAACCAACATATTACAGTCACCCTAAAATACTTTGATAAATATAAAGTCAAACACACATTTTCTCATCATTGTGACATTTCGCCAACATTTACAAGGTTGGAACCACTCAAACAAATGGGATATAATCATGATAATATACAGCTCACTTGAGCTACAAATTATGCTAGATGGGATATAAATTTACGATGCAAAAATAGGGGGTTGGGTGGTATTTAGCTTAAAATATTGTAAATCTGCATTAAATAAATTTAAATTAAAAAAAATAATAAAAAGCAACAGGTTTTGGTAAACAATTTCTCTGTATCTCATAGAAGATCCCTCTTGGGGATCAATCTTACAAACTGTATGTGCTGTAGGGTCATATAGAAAAACTTGCTTGCCGAAAGTAGTTGCATACTTTCATTTCCCAATGGTTTTGTGCTGTGCCCTTTTTGTAACCTTTTGTCCATACATTTCACAAGGGTGTACCCTAGGTACAAAAGCATCGGAACGACTTTACTTTACCGGTCCCCAGAAAAACGCGCTAAAATATAGTGTCGACGTAGGCGACTTCAGTATAATATGAGATCGCGTGAGCGATCGAAAAAAATAAAAAGTATGAGATTTCAAGCCTTTTTGACCCTAAAATCGAATTCTATGGTTAAAAGTTTAGTTTAAAACTTCGTTTTTAAACGAAGTTTTTAACCTCGTTCTCTGAAAAAAAAGAGTAATAAATATTGTTTATTCAGTGAAAAGGAGACAAAAAATAATTGTCAACGAAGCGCGTGCGGCGCATGCTTAGTGCCGTTTCTTTCGTACTTAGTCATATTTTTTTTTTCATGTAAACAAACCAACGAGATGTCGTTGAAGCTGAATTAAGATCTTGCAAAAAATACAGATGCAACTGAATTTCTTAATTAATCGAAAAGAACAAGACACTAACCCTAATATCTCGGATGGTATGCGAGGACTAACCCAAATCTCACAGGCGGATGCATATGGCTATGCTAGACTAACCCATGTGCGAGGACTAACCCAAGATGCGAGACTAACCCTAATAAGTCGAAAACTTTTGCAAGGACTAACCCTAATCTTTCAGGTGGGTGCAAGACTAACCCTAATCAGTCGAAAAATGTGCAAAACTATCCCTAATCAGTTGAGTGACGTAAATCTTACGTCATAGTGCAATGAGCGCGCGGATCTTGCGGATCTGGGGACCGGTAAAGTAAAGTCTACCCAAAGCATCACCTTAAAACGCAGTACAAATCTTTGCCATATTATACATACATGTTGAAGTTGATAAGCATTGTAGCTAGACTAAAAATAGACAAAACAAAATTTGCTGAGACTGTAAATCAAGGTCAAATTGTGTTAAATCTAAGACAGGAGATGTACCTCAAATCTTTAAATTTTCTCTCATGCTCATTCTATCTGTAGATAGAAAAAATAAAATGCGTAAAAAATCTCTTTTCGCGTGAAAACCGGAAGTACTGTTCGGAAACTAAAAAAAAGGCTAAGAAAATTTCCGGGAAATAAAATTCTAATTTGGAATGGTTTTACTATTTCCTTGACGATAATAAACAATATGGCGGATAATCCTGACAAAATCTTGCCAACAGAGGACATTTCGAGTTCAAATACGGACATTGCTTTCCCTGATATGAGTTCAGCCGACGATATTGTTAGCAGGGCTCGAGAAGAAATCGAGAAAACAATGGAGAAGGCAATGGCGAACCAACAGGGGGGACAAGAGTTTGAAGAAGTAATCGAATATGTTGAACCTATACAGGATCCGTATGGAAAAGCCATCAAATATCTTGAGCAACACGACATTTTACAACTTTTCCAGGTTAGTTCGATAATTGAATTATTTAAAGTTTCCCTTAAATCCCACCAGTGATGGTTCTTCTGACACATGATATACATATAAAATTAGGGCACATATTATATAACCCCCACCCATCCCCTTATTTATAGTTGAATCCACATTTTTTAAAGCTATGTCCCTTGGTCGCCATTTTTATGAAAAATCCAAAGACTTTGAAACTTTTACATCCGGAACTTTGTTGTTTGACATTAAAATAATCATCAAATCTTGTATTTTGATTCCCCCAAGATGGGGCTAACCATACATTAAAAGATTTTTTTAATCACTGTGAATTTCTCAAACATGCCTAAATGTTTAGTAATGTAAAGAAGAGAAACATTGTTTTTTCCCTTTTGACCTTTTCCTTGACCCCACCACAGGGGCTTGCTCCCGGCATGTAATAATTATTTATTTAAAAAATCATATATGGTAATACTAAAACAACAATTGTTTTAGTATTACTGTATATAATTTTTTAATAAATAATTATTACACGCCAGGAGCAAGTGCCTATGATCCCACAAAGGGAAACATCATTTGCAAAGCGTGGATTGGACTATTTTATTTTTCAGGCACATAGTATCATTTTTGAAAGGGGGAGCTGAAAAATTATTTGACAACTTACTGATTATATTCGGCCAAATATGGTACTTGAAAAAAAAAATTAGACAAGCCCCCTCCCCAAACACACACACACACACAAAAGAGAAGGAAATTCTAATCTCCAAACTCAAATATCCTATTTTGTATGTGTGTGTGTGTGTGGGGGGGGGGGGTAGATTCCATCTTTTTCCCCAAACAAAGAGGTGGGTTCAATTAAATGACCTGTGAAAACCCAATGTCTCATTTCAAACATCAATTAAAAGTAGAGACTTAGTGCTTTCATTTCTTATAAAAAAAAAAGTTTAAACTGTGAGTTCAGGTATTAAAAAATGGGCTTTGTGAAATTGCAATGTTTTTGAATTTTGCATATAATGGATGTATTTGGGTACCTTCAGCAGAAAGTTAAAATATGAGCCCACCTCTTGATCTAAAACATGAATCATGTTTTATAGTCTTCAGAAGCAACTCTTTCATTACTTAATATATAATTGTACACTGTAGATCAGAGGTTGGGCTCTATATATGTAAAATATTAAAAACACCCTAAACTTTTGTCCATTCTTAAAGAAGTTTTCAGGATTTGAAGATAATGATGCAATTCATGACATCAATATAGGTGGACAAGCATTTGCAAATTACGTTATCTTTGATATGCAGTCACTAAGGGTCCAAGTAAAATGGAATGTATTGTCAACTAATTAAATTTGAGCAGTTTTGATTTTTCAGAAATTCACAGGGTCAAAAAAGGCCCGAAGTGAATCTTGTTCTTTATTAATATGTTACCATGGGATGTTTTGACTATATTGCAAAAAAATGTTTGTGTGTTGAAGGGGGGGGGGGGGTTCTACCAGCCTTGAATGAACATTCTCAAAAGTAAAAGGTTTTGTTTGGAAAAAAGGGAGCAACCCCCCCCCACCCACCCCCCCACCCCCATCCCTGACTCCTCTGATACTATGTGCCTGTTTATGGCCCATAAATGTTATTAAAGGACAATGAACGATGAGATATCTTGAGCTTACTTAGGTAAAACAATTTGTTTTCCTTCACTGAATGTGGGACATAACAGATATTTGTTGAGGGTGATTCCATCCTCACAGTGTCAGGGGTCATATGCTTGTGGTCACTATCGGAATCAGCTCCCCTGAAGTTGTGAGGATCTTGAAATACTAATACACTACACTTTACTGGAATAAATTCAATGGTAAAAATGAATTTAGTATGGCAATATTTGTAAACAGGCTGTCCCACCTTCAAAAGAACAAATATTTTTAACTGAATAAATTCAAAATGATTTATGTTGTTTTCTGTTTTAGGCTTTAACTGCAAATATAGTTTACTTTAAACCAGAGGACCCCCTTAGTTACATGATGAAAGAAATTGAAGTCATAAAAAAGGAAAAAGCAGCTGCAAAAACTGCAGAAAAGAAGTGAAACTTGTACAGCAAATATTTGGTTTTATATATCTGGGAGGATTGAGTGAGTCTGTACATAAAGTGTCCTGTATTTAAGATGAAAAAGGAATCAAAATTTACATCATATATTTTTTGTCATGAAGCCATGTAATATGTGCAATTACATTCAAAACATTGTGTACAATCACCGATATACAACAATAATAATGTTGATATTCCATGAACATTACATGTACTTTGTTGTAATTGCTTGCCACTTCACAGATCTTGCATTTACAAATGCTACAGTTTAGTTGTACAGTTTTCAAAATCCCTATTTCAGGACTTTTTTGAGGTTCTACATATAAACCTTTCACTAATTATGTTTTTGTAATGAATTTTGAGATTATGATCGTCAAATTGTAATGGCATTCTTATTATCCAGTATTAAGATGTAAAATATAGAAATCTACTTATACACATTAATATATATTTGTGGTTATATTAAGTGCCAAACTTGTTTTGTAGACTTAGAAATTACTTATTTAATATCTGTTACAGCATTTCCTTGAGAATAATAAAATAAATAAATTATAAAATAATTATAAAATAATTACAATGGAATTGTTCTAAGAGTTAAAATGATTGATTTAGCCAATGATTGATATATGTGGTACATATAAATGATTTTGATTAGAAAATAAAGCTATCTTTTTGTAAGATTGTTTTTTTTTTTCATGGAACATGTATTTGCATTTAAACCTTAAACTAAGATATAAAATACCACCACACTGGTTTCACAAAAAAAGTTATTAGTTTACATTTTCAAAAATATTAGTTTGATGCAGTGAAAAAAGGGGCAATATTTTAAATCAAATAAATATGCATGTTGTACGCTAACCTCCCTCTCCTTTCCATGAATTCCTTAATTTCTTTAGGAAGGGACCTTAATATAAACCCCCTAAGCTTTAGCATGGAACTTAGTTTAAAGTTTTAAGATTTTTATGTGAAGATGTCAAGTCTTCTGTTCTTAAAGGAAATTCTTAGTTTATTCTATATATATCTTCATTGCTCATGCAAAATAAATTTTATATACAATGCAATTTGTTTATTCAGTTTGTTTATTTACCAATTAAGGACATGACTCAAAATTGCAAAGAAAATGGGGGGTCAGTGTGCATCTTACTGAGCTACGGTACAAATAAGTTGACCTTTTTACACTTAAATTTTAACTCTTTGGTTAATCACTTTAATCTTTATCATATTATATCCGATGTAATTATGGCAATAAATATAATCTTATTTTACGTAAAATAGTTTGAATAATACTTGTTGTGTGACCTTTTTGCACTAAAATGTATCATATTTGGGGTATAAAAAGTCTAAGTAGGCAATGAAATATTTTCTTGTATCAAACTTTTCATGATTTATGTGCTGATCTGTTGAAATTATCGTGTTGTTTAAAATAATGAAACAAAAAGTTGGAGTCAGTGGTGTAAATTTTGAGATATTGGTCCAAGTGTGTGATTTTCATGCAAAACACTGTGTAAACATGCCAAGAAAAGGTACGCATTCTAGTTTTAGAGCGAACTCAATAAAAGCGGAATTAGCCTTAATCTGTGATTTTTCCCCAGGGAGATGTGTGCGAGGCAATTAATGTCAGCAGTTTTGAGGGAAGGATCTTAAGTTTTACTGGTTTGAAATTAAAGCTAGAATACTTATTATTTAGAAGCCTTTGCACCTTTTTTCCTGTTTTTTTTTTTTTTTTTTTTTTTTTTTTTTTTTTTTTTTTTTTTTTTTTTTTAAAGGGGGGGGGGCGATTTTCCATACAAATCATATGCGGTTAAAGAGTAAAAAAAGAAGGAAAAGAAAGTGAAATAAATGGTAGAGAATTAATTAATTGTTCAGTAAAAATTAGACGCCTTTCAAATTTTTCAGTGTTTATATATCAAAATATTTTTTTCCTAGTTGCCTGACGCCACGTGCGTCAGGCAGTATAAGGATTAATTTTTTCAAGATCCGAAACTAAGCGATCATTCTTAATGAACTATATTTTCTGGAAGCTGATTTACACTGGATTTTGTTACCTGCATTTAAACAAATACAGTTTGCTGAAGAAATAATCGCATTACTGATGCAAAATAATGATGTGTTTAATTCCTTCAGTTTTTTGGCATGCATGTTTATTCTTTGCGATTCTTTGTACGGGCATGTCCGTGTAACATTTTTTCTGCGTTTCTAGACTACTGGATCAGTCCATTTGCCTTCTACAAAAGGGGTGACAAAATCATTTCGCGCCAAATGTCACATGTAAATTATCTTCGCGCCTTTTTCTCGGATTGTTCTCTTGAATGGGTGATGGGTGAATGGGTGATATTCTATGGAAATAAATAACGTTTATTCTTTTAACCTGATTCTTAAGCTTCAGATTTTTTATTAATAGTAAATTTTATCTCATTTTTAAAAGAACACATTGTATATGGGCAGGCAGCACTAAAGCAATGGATTTGCTGATTATTCTTACTATATATCCCATAAGTGAACTAGTCCAATCATAAGCAAACTCCCTCGACCTAGTAAATGGGTCATCCCTTCTTGATTCAGTCCGTTTCCCACCTTTACTTTCAATATTACATTTATTAATAATGCATGTTACAAGGTTGGGCCGTTTTTAAAAAAGCTTAGAAAGTCAGCCAGTAGCATATTATTTCATGCTTTGTGATGAACAAGGATAGTGACAAGAGTAGGTCAGTTCCCATAGAGGAATGGGCTTAACTCCCGTAAGGTTCTAAGCAAAGAATCGGCAAAATGAAGAAGACATCATGATCTGTACTAGTTTTCATTTCATATAAAAGCACGTTATTATAATTATGAGAAATGTCCTGAAATCGATTGAAAAGAAAAACTAAACAATTTTAAAACTGCACATAAAGATGTATTTTTAAACTCATTTATAATACATGTGTACATGTATATGGTAAGACCATCAGCGCGTGAGTTTCGTCCGGGGGGGGGGGGGGGTTATTAGTGTCTTGTTTTGCTCTAGCTATAAAGTGTACAGTCCATTTACTTTGAGTTCTAGAGCAGCATTGAAGAATTTTTTGTCTCAAACACTTCAAGAAAAGGCAGTTAAAACTGTTAATAATTTACTTCGACGTCGAGAACGACGGAAAACAGACCAGTCTATAAAAAGAGGCCGTCTCATCAATCTATCACTGACCTGCAGAGAAGCGCGCCCTCTAGTAAGAGAGTACATGTAATATGAATTTCTTTAGAATCATCTAACTATTTTCCCCAAAATTATAATCTACGCTATCGCACTTAAAGTTAGAGTTTCATCCCAACGTAACTTGTCAGCCCGTGGACTAACTAATAAATGATTGAATAGTGGCATGTCTTAGATATTTGTTAATCTGCAGTATTTGGTTATGAGATTTGAGAAGATCCAAGATGGCGTTAGTGGCAGTAGGGTAGTCGCGACTCCGGAGAGTAAAAGGGAATGGAGTTGAACTTCTGTGTGTTTCTGTGAGTGTAAGTTTATAGCCAGACTATATTTATGTAAAACTATGAGTGTGAACTATCTTTAAGCTAAATAATTTCTATTTAGTCTGGTTTCTGTGCTTTTTGTGAATCCTTTGTGTAGACAGTCGTATATGAAAACTACTCATGTCAACAAAGCCAGCCAAGTCAGTTACACCTAAAGTTGTGGGTACAAAACGCAAACATACAAGTAATAGTCCCACAGATAGTTTAAGAAAAACTTCTCGAAGAAGATTCAGGTCTTCATCTTTACCTGACCTAAAGGATCTCTGCGATCAATCTCATTTTGATACTGATCTTGAAAAAATGGATGGGTCAAGCTCTGACACTACTGTAGATGACCAATCTACACAATACACACAAAATACTACACAGAGTACAACTGTTAAATCAGGTTCTTCTCCAAGTGAGCCAAGCAGTTCTAAACAAAGACAACCACCATTCATCCAAACACAGGGCCAAACATTTAGTCTCCCTGAACTGATATTAAGCTCCATGAGAAGTCAAAACTTTATGTCTCAATTAGTTCCAGTAATTGCAGAGGCAATAAAACCATCTATTGAACAAGCTGTGCAGGCAGTCTTCAGTTCTTTAACTGAAATCATCAAAAACCAAGCAGAAACAATATCTAAACAAAACAAAGAAATTGAAGATCTATCAACAAGAGTTAAAAGTTATGAAAAACAAAATTCTGATCTGCAGTGTCAAATATGGAACTTAGAGGACACAGTTGATGATCTCGAACAATATGGTAGGAGAAATTCTCTGAGATTTCACAACTGTCCTGCACCAGGAGAAGGAGCAGATACAGATATTAGTGTCATCGATATCTGTAAACATCATCTAGCAATCGAACTCAAAGATGATGATATCTTCAGGTCACATCCAATTGGTAAACCTAACAAGGATGGTAACATACAAATTATTTGTCGTTTCAAGAACTGGAAAATAAAAAACAAAATATATGTAGCAAAAAGAAACCTGAAGAAATCCGGCATCTTTATTACCGAAGACCTGACCAGATATAGACAGGCCATAGTAAAAGAACTTGCAAGTGCCAAAAGAGCCGAAAGAGTGCATTCGTTCTGGACTAGTGACGGTAGAATTTTCACAAAGCTCTCTGATAAAGGTCACAAATACCTAATCCGATCTATTAAAGAGTTGCACGATCTTGCTCCACCTCAGTGGACAACATCTGACCCAGAAGCTGAAACACCCGATTACCAGTATTAGCGACTTCACTATCGACTTATCAAAATGTGTCTAAAATAATTTACCATGATTACTGACTTCAGCTCTCATTAATGAATACTAAATAAGAATACCTAAAATAAAGTATGAATTCACTACACGGTAACAGTTTGAAATTATAAAAAAAATTTAAAAAAATAAAAACCTTCTCTCTCCTTTCATTATTACAGTATGACCACTGTTTTTTGGAAAGCCATGTATATAGTTTTCACATTGTTTATATTCAACAATTCTGCCCCTACGCATCTTGTTTTGTTTAGTGACACACATTTGTCACTTTTGTTACCCTTGTTTACACTTTTTATTTTCACTTTGTTTCCTTTATCTTTGTATATACGCTTTTGTTTTTTGTTTTTTCTTTATTTTTATTTTTACTCCTTATTTTGTTGTCACAGTTTATCCAACATGAATTCAAATGATTTTGATAATTGTTATTGCTTGCGGCTCTTACAATCAAATTTCTTCATTTGTTCAAAATTTTTAGCCAATGGCAGGTAACACAGTGTCACAATATCGAGCCGCGATAGGAATTTATTACTCAAAAACCAGATGCACAGTAAAATCAATGCTACCCTGTATCTTTGATTTTAGAAACGTACTTTCGTATCTATTACAGGTGTATAACTATTACTTTCAGATGTTCAAATGTATAGCCAACCAGAGTATGAAAAGCTCAATGCATGTATATTTTTGCTTGCAAATTATTCATCTACTATTATTATTGTCTGGCGACATTGAAACCAACCCTGGTCCGAATGGTGTTCCTATTCATAGTTTAGATATTTTTCACCTTAACATTAGGAGTATTAGAAACAAAATAGAAAGCTTAACCTCTTATGTAACTGACTTCGATATCCTATGCTTTACAGAAAC